CATAAGAAGGAAATTGAAAACCCCATTCTAAACCAGGAAGAAGGGATAAACCTCTACTCCTGTTCAGTAGAAGGGGAAAAGAGTATGGACTGGTTGAGAGTTAGAACTATTAAAAACAAAAACACCAAAATTGTCTCAGTTTTTTTGGTTTAGTAAGATGAAATATTCATGAGTGGAATAAAATAAGGTAGAGAATTCGAAGTATTCCTGTCGTATGAGTGTGAGATGCTTGTGACCAAATCAAGGAAATCAGCATTTCAAGTTAAGTATCTTTCCAGATAGCTTATTTTCGAAATGCCTAATGTCCAACATGCTAGTAGGATATGGGCATTGGTTAATTTCTTCTTAAAATCAAATATACATCAAACCATTACTTGGAGTTTTGGCACTGTAGTTCTTTTCCACTGCCTTGGTATCCACACTGGTGCTTTAATAGTCTACCAGTCCTGGGTATGATGATAAACTACATTTGGCAGCAAGGCCTCTGATTGGGTGATTGGTGGTTTTGAGGAGTGTGGAACCACCTGTTAATTGCTGTTGTTCTAAGGTTCACCCTAACCTAGGTTGGTAGCAACTGCTAGGGTCCCAGCTATGGGTAAATAGTGACCCCTACCCCCAACAAAAAATGCTATAAAAGTATAAAAATACCAACAATACATATAGTAAAATGATTAACAATACATTTTATCTGTAGTTGAAGGCATACAATTCCATTCAAAATATATTTAGTTGAAGCCATAAAATTATGTTCAAAATATTTAGATTTTGGCGTAGAAGTTGATATGGTGTTAAACAAAATCAGCCAACCAACATGAATATATAATATCCTACAATTTCTTAAAAAAAAATCAAACTGTATTACAAAATATAACTTTAACAAAGCTACAACATAAAACATACATATCACTACCTCTAGTCATCATGCCCATACAAACATGTATATGCACAAAATCTAAGTATCATCTACCATGTAGTCATTTGTGAAAGTAGAATAACACCATATTTTTATTACTTCAAAGCTCTCAAGAAAACTAAATTTCAGCATTAAATCAACTATAAGAGTTAATATGCTGTTAGACAATCAAATCAATCAATCACTCAATAGTCTATCTGAGAAGAGAGATGTGGCCAGACCATCTATATTTGCCCGTTTTGATCTTGATTATTATTATTATTATTATTATTATTATTATTATTGTTGCTATGTTCAGTGGCATTGGGTGGGTTTTAAGTGCCTAGGAAAATTTAAACTATTACGTTTCCTCCTTGGCCATGAGCTGTTATAAATTCCAGTTTCATACATATTTTCCCAACCTAATTAATTTTTTGTGTCCCTAAAAATTTAGCACATGGGGCAATTGTCCCTTTGAACTTGCCTATGCTATGCCATTGATTTTTGTGTGTGTGTGTAACTCCTATCTTAGATAGGGAGTTAGATACTGCAGCATTAATATATAGCTTGATTATTCTTAAGTAATGCCTTGATCTGCATATTATCAATCTAAACTGGTCTATCCAACTGTGGCATATCCCTCAGCAAAAAATCTCTCCTACAAAACTTTACAAATTAATTTGTACATTTTTAATTCTTTACAGTACCTTTCTTCATAAACACCACAAATCTTTTTTGTTCTTGAGTTTCATTATTATTATTTTTATTATGTTTTTTAATAAAAATGCTTCAGTCAGTTATGTGCCATGCATGATACACGTGTAGACAATCATGTATCTTTTGATACATGACTGACAAGGCAGATTTTTTACCTGCAGTAGGTTGCCATTTCTTTGTGTGGTAGACCAGTTTCCCTCCAAGACTACAGAACACGGTCTGTTCTGCTATTTACCCATATCTGGGGGGAGAAGAAGAGGATTCATACCTTTCCCAAGGATATTTGCACATAAGTGAATGTAATGTATTCGACTGGAATTTGAACTCGGCTCAAAAAAATGCACATTGAATTAACAGCTGTTATACTCAAAAGCAATCTATTTCTTTTTTAACAAAGTTACCTGAAAAGTAAATACTCTTAACAAAAGAGATTTTTTTTTTGTCAACCCAACACAAATATAAATTATCAAAGTTTATATTTAAATCTTTTCTTCATTTTATAATTCACCTCTTTGAAGGTTGACAATGAGTGTGACAGCTTTTAACTATAATTACTGCTTGGACAGGTAAAATAACCGTGTCTTGTCCAAGTGTTTAATTACCTAATTTTTCCAACAACTCTCATGACCTTCCAGCAATGATATATTTTATATCAGTCATGGGCAAACTGGGGTTCATGAGCCACACATGGCCTGATTGGCTTTCAGAATGACATGCCTAATTTCATGAGGAAAATAACATTTGTTAAAGTGTTCTTTGTTTCGTTTCATTCTCACTTGTTCACTCACACACTCTCATGTATAGCCACATACATAAACAATAAGTAAGTACAATGTTTCTTGAATTTTGTAATTTTTTGTTGAAGGTAACATTATCGGCATTTTAAGCTGTTGGTGATTTTTGCTAAGGAAGATCATACATCTTATACTTCAGAAAGAGGAAACCTCAATGATAATTATTTTTCTCAAGAGAATAAATATAATTCTTCTTTCACAAATATTTTTCTATTGTCAAATGAATAAATTAGAAACAATGCACATTCAGTAATGTGTGTTAATCACTCTGTCATCAGTGATAATTTTATACCAAGACAACAGTTTCTTTAATTGTAGAAGGAATCTTTTCTCCAAAGAAAAACAAAATCAACTTTTATGGCAAATGTTTATGCACATGTTCTGTTGTTGGGGAAAATGGTTGCTGTAACTTAATGAAAAATTACCTTGATATTTTTTTTTTTTTTAAAGTGTGGTCCACCTCTATGGTGTACTGTACCTCATGTGGCCCATTGTTTGAAAAAGGTTGCCCATATCTGTCTCATATCACAGTTGTCACAAATTTAATTTTTTTTTTTTTTTCATATTGAATAGACTTCTGGAAAATTTTTAAATTCAAAATGATTTGATGATGGGATGATGAAAACGAGGCTCAGCTGCTGCTAGTTTAGTGTTTGAATGAAAATTTCTGATTGGTTAGTTGAGTGGTTCATTGATGAAAGGGCGCTGCCGATTGGTTGGTGTGTATTTATGATAATATCAAAATGATTGAATAGTTGATGAATACGAGGCTAAGTTATTATTAGAATGAATGCTCAGTGGGAACCTGACATCTCTTGAGAGATAAAGGAGTGCATATGAGACAGGCAGGCTGGCAGGGAAGTCACCATTTGTAAAGCCAATGTCAATGATTTAAAACCAAAATATGCTCCTTCTGAGAAATTCCTAAGTTCTTGCAGCTGAGAACCTCAAATGTAGATTCTGGTATCTCGAGCAGAATTCTACATTCTTTTGACTGACCATCATTATATTAAAAATAAAATTTATTTTGTAATTATGTAAATTAATGTAAAGACTGGCAGTTTAGACAGACTTAATAGTTAACAGCATGAAAAATGGAATCACTGATCAAAGTTCAATTTCTGAACTTTGGGGAAGGTATATCTTTTGTCCATCTCCAAGCTGTGCTTTAAATAGCAGGGTATATTTGTCTCTCTATCCTTGGTTAGAAACCAGTCTATGAGAAGAACTACTCATTTAAAACCTTGGAGAAGGCAATGGAAAACCTCAATTCTCTTTCCAATCATAAAATTATCATAGCAAAATTAATTTTATAGACATTAAAAAAACTGTGATGAGTCTTGACTATTGTAGTCTTTTCCTCCAAGAACAATCATGTACAGTTTAAAATATTAAAAGAAAAAAATAGTGGAGTGCTTGTCTTGAAGAGATTGTCGTTGGTAGTACACGTTTTTGTAAAGAAATGAATAGCAAATGAAGGTTTTGGTAATTTTTTTATTTATTGGATGCCCAGCTATGCCAAACTAAAATCAGTAAGTAATTGGGTGATGTTTTAATAAATATGATCTATAGCCACAGTTACCTGCATATAACAAATACCTATAGCAAACCAAGATTTGATAGTTGGTAGGTTTATATTGAACTCTTTTCTGTATATGAGCAGGTACCAAAAATTCTCTATCTGACAAAAGAGAGGCTCACTAAAGGAAAAGAAATATTTTGGTTAGATTTTGGGAAGTGGATCAAGATGAGAACTTTTCAGAACCCTCTCATAATCAACTGTTTGAATAAAGTAAACATTTTTTTTGCAATTTTTTTATGTCAGACCAAATTGATCACCAATTTCTTTAAATTTATTGGTTATTACAACTTTTATCAAAACCTATTTGGAGAGAGCTTAAAATGTCATCAGTATTGCCAGTGATGCTTCTGTGTTTGGCATGACCTTAGTAGCTTGAAAAGTAATATGAACAGATGCAAATGTAATTAAGTTAAATACCATTATTGAATGACTTAATCTCTAACAGTTCATTTGCTCAGTATAAAGTGTTTTTTTTTTATGCAAATGGAACTTAGTTATTTCTAAATGTCTTAACACAAAAAATTTGTTTTAGCAATCACAACAGATGATAATCCAAATGTGCTAGATTTTCGTGAGCATGGAGGTTGAGGTAAAACTTTATTGATAATAACATTTCCTTCTGCATTTTAAATCTAGTGTCAGATGGTTTTGTCATTTGTATTTAAAAGACTCTAAAAATACACTGCCTAATGATTTTTGAACAAGCGAATAGTGGATATAGCTGCTGGTTAAAAGTATTGCAGTGATCTTCATTTCCTGAATCGGTTGTTTTTGTTTAACGGCATATCAACCTCGATGGGTTAGTGTCAAAATTTGAATATTGTGTATGCAATTTTATTTTATTTTTGGGAAATAATAATGATTTAGTGATACAGATCCTACTAATTAACCTATAGCTGGGGGGAGGAAGAGGTGGACTCATACTTTTCCCATGGTTATTTGTAAGTCAATATAATGAATCCAACTGGAATTAGAACTTGGCTCTACGATTTAACAATTCTGAGCCATTATTCGTTACACCACCCACAAATCCCAAGCGGTCACCCATTTAGGTACTGACCAGGTTTGACTTTGCTTAACTTTGGTGATTGTATGGAAACCAGTGTTTCAATGTGTTGTGGTCATAAGCCTTCTGAATCAGTTAGCAAAGTTCATATATTCTGGTTCACTAGGAGCAAACAAATGGCATCACAGGTACAATAATGATGATGATAAATATTGTTAAAAATAATATCAATTGTTTCATTAAAAGGGATATTAATAAATAGATTTTCAACATCTAATGATGCTTATTTCATTTTATGGTCTATGAGAGTGAAGAATTTGTAAGAATTCAGCAGTGGAATTAATACTGTATATTGTAGGAAAACCTGGTAGAATTAATTGGCTTAATGTTTTAGCAAATTGGTATATATATGTGGTGGCTTGTGATATAATAGATTTGAGTAGGTTACTGTGTTTATGAATTTTACCATTTCCATATATATATATATATATATATATATATATATATATATATATTTAGAAAATTTATAACATAAACATGCTATAAAATCACTAGCCAGGTGTGGGGTGATATTTGCCTGCAGCATTTTGAAGTTTGAGAGATCCTATTTCTTCATTATTCAAACATATAAGATTATTTACATTTTTTTTTAATTGAGAGGTAATGTTTATCTCAAATTTTTTTATTTCTATTTTTGAATTGAGTCATGTCCTTGAGGATAGTCTCATTTATCTTCTGTTAGTAATATTTCTTGTCAAGTATATTGATGGATCTTAACTATAATGGATACACTAAACTGGGGAAGTTTTACAGATAATTTATGGACACATATATATGTGTGTGTGTGTGTGTGTGAGAGATAGAAAATTATTTCACATAAGAGTGCTCAACTATAAAGAGTGAAGTATAAATATAAAGTAGCTCACATCTATTATGCACTACTTTATATTTTGCTAATATGACTTAATTTCTAAATATAGAAATAAATAAATAAAAATGAATACCAAGGTCAAAATTTTTCCATAATAAAAATCAACAGGCCAACAAAGCCAATCAATCAGAAAGCTTTTACAACCAACGATGTGCCAGGACATTTACACTTGAACTCTAGACACTTCATCTTATCATTCTGAGTTATATGATATATAAAGATTTATTTTGCTGTTATCAACACTGTGCATTTTCTTTTAATCATGACACAAGGCCAATATACACCAAAATTAATTATACTGGTATATGGTGGGAATGGATGTTGTCGTAAAATAAACAACTCATCCATAAGAGATCACCTTCTAAACACTATTTTATATATATATGAAATTGTGAGACAAAATGGAAAAAATTTAATTCTAACATTTTTCATCCATATAGACTATACAGGATTGGGTTTGTTGATATTGTTTTCACTACACATGCGCATGAACAAGAAATGCTGGTAGTTTCAAAAAGAATATACATGAATTTGGATAGATTGCAAAAAATTATTTTAAAAAACTTTGAAATTGTCAACATAGATCTTGTTCATGCTCATGTATAATCGCAACAACGTCAACAAACCCACTCTGATGAAGTCGTACAGATGAAACATGTCACAAATAAATTTTTTCTATTTTGTCTTACAATTTTATATATAATGGGGTTTAGAAGGTTTTTTATATATATATATATATATATATATATATATATATATATATATATATATATGCTTTTATCCATTGGGCCATGTGTTCCAGCACATGGCCTAGTGGATAAAAAGTGGTTGAGTAATACAAAAAGTGACTTGACCCAAAGAGTTGTGAATTCATTACCTGGCCATAGCAGAGGGAACAAAAAACTTGGAGAATTGAGTTACTGAAGGGAATTAACTGATACTGAGATATCCAAAAAAGGCATGGCACATGGAATTAAAACAATCTACTCCCTTGGTTTGAAATTCCAATGTATATCACCTGAAGAAGGTTGGAGAGCGTACAACGGCTGAAACGTGAATATAGCAATAAAGATGAAGACAACAGTTCAAATGATGTAAATAGTTACAATACTTCATCTTAGGAATATAGACAGTTTTAAGGTATGCTATATTTATGGGTTAAAGTGCTCAATATCAGGGATAGAGTGTATGTAATGGACAGTGAGGTAAACACCCAGTGGTGGCAGACTGTTAAATGCAAAGTTGTTGATAACATGTACACATTCCTCCTGGGTGATGGCTTGAATCTTCTCAGTGATGACAGCCTTCAATGCAGTAGATGTTGTCCTTGAGCAACCCCTAGAGAAAGAAATCTGGTGTGGGGTTAGGTCAGGTGAGTGAGATGGCCTTTTCTACTTCAGCTTTGAGGCTAATGAGATGCTTCCCAAACTTTTCACGGAGCCATACCATGGTAACATTAGCAGTGTGAGGAGGAGCACTATCCTGCTGGAACCACTGCTTCTCATCAAGGTCTTCACACTCCTCAGGCTCTCCCCATTTGAGATGCCACTGCTTTGTTTCAACAATTGTGAAACACCCTGTGTGTGTGTGTACACACACACATATATATAATTATTTTTTTTTTTTGTATAGATATTAATTGATTAATAAATATGTTTCTTTCTTTTCAGTCTGGTCGGTATTAAATAAATCTTGTTTTATTAAGGGTTTCCTCTGATGTCACTGACTGTGTAAAAGCTTGCTGCTTTACACAATACTCAAGTGGTGAGGAAATGAGGAATGTTGCCCTAAAACTAATCTTTCTGTTACAGCTACATATATAAACTTGAATTGTTTAAGTGCTTCATAAGTAAAAGGAGGGTTTTTAATTGTTTTATTACCTCTGATGTAGGAATTGTAATTATTTCTCTTTTCCCTTTTGCAATATACTTAGCTCATTATTGCATGTACACTCAGTTAATTGTTGTACATTTCTTTTTGTAAAGCTTATAATTATATTTAGATGTTAAGAAAATATTTAAATTGACCAGTTAAATACTTGTTTTTCTCCTTGTCATAGTTAAATGTGTTATTCTTTTATTGGATAGTAACTAGTTAGAATGGTGAGATCCATCTTCTTCATCTGTAGTGTATTCCCCAGTTCCAACAATCAAGATATAAAACAAAATTGTCACAAACCTGAATGAATATAAATCTGAATCATTCTGATAAAAGGGAATGCTCGGTTGAACTGGATTAACTTCTAAGACAACTATAGGAACCATTTAATGACTGAATAATGATCTCATAATAATTGTGCTTGACTCTCCCTTCGTTAGTTTGCATGACAGTTATGTCCTGCCAATACCTAAAAAAATAATGAACTACTACATTTTTCATTGTGTAGAAAGAGGAGAAAAGACACTACTTGGTTTTAGTGAAAACTCAAATAGAAGATAGAAATGTCACAATATAAGCCAACAAAAAAAATACTGGATTGTCATGTGATATCCATCCTCTTATATAGCAGTGAATGCTGGACAATCTCCCCCATGGACGAGGAAAAAAAACTGGAGGTAGCAGGAATGTGGTTCTACAGAAGGATAAGTAGAATTTCATGGATTGAGTGTCACCCTGTCAGCTGAGGCTTCAGAATACATTGACTGTATCTCTGCAGAGAGGTAAACCTGCCCAATGAGGCCACTTGTTGGTGGTGGGTGGCAACCTGTGAAGACTGGGGATGGGATCCTCAAGAGGAGGGATGGTTTAACTCCAGAATCTCAACATATCACTTCGGCCTTTACCTGGGCTAGACAGGCAGTTGGAGAGGCCTAATCTGATCAACTGGCTGGTCACACCAAGCCCCGATTCAGATTTTTACAAATTCTGGAAAAAGAAGGTGGTGGCTGTAGGGTCAATTATGCTAAGAAGGGTCGGTTGTTTCAAACTAGGCCTGAGGAAAAAGTTAACTTGGGAACTAAGGCTTAGGAAGTTAAACAATTATTGCCTCATCATGGTGTTAGTATACTGACTGTGCAGCACTGATCTTCCAAGGTGAATGGGTTTCCCCCTTGGCATTTCCACTTATAGGGCTCTGTAGTGGATGGGGAGCACAGTCAGCGAAACATAATTTCATTATATGGATAGAGAAAGAAAAACCCAAGCTAAAAGACTCTACATGGAGCCAGATTCTGATCAAGTGCAGGCTGAGGTACCCTTTCCTAGATTCATAATACTGGAATCTAGAGAGGAGGTCCCACTAACTAAATTATCACCATTCCTCAATACAGAGGGTTATATCCTCAATGGTTAATCCTAAGTTGGTAAAAAACTTAAAAAATGAAATCATCCTGAAAGAAATACAAAATGAAAATATGTGAGCATGCTGTTAAGGATGAAAAAAATCTATAACATTAATTTAGTTCATAATGGAGATCTGTTGCTTTGTACCATAGAAGAGATTAAAGCTGAATTAAAAAAAAATGTTACTGATGTCAAAAGGATAAGAATTAGAAAACAAAACCATAAATACAAACACATATATTAAGTTTCAATACTCTGACATCACCATCTGAAATTAAAATTGGATATTTAATAGCCAAAGTAGATAAATATATTCTAAATCTAAGAAGATGTCACAAATGTCAAAGATATGGCCATCTAAAGGAGTATTGTACAAGAAAACAAACCTGTGCAAGATGTGGAGAAATAGAACCAAATCACGATGAAACAAATGGAACAAGCACCCTACAATAGAACTGTAGAGATGTTAAACCAAACTATGAGGAAATCAAACAACTCCTTACAGATTACAATCAAAATATAGTCTGCTTACAGGAGACCTTTCTCAAAGGAACTGATAATATCTCCTTTAAATGATATGAAACTTACCACAAGATAAATCTATCAACAATAGAGAATAGACTAAGTGGGGGTATTTCAATATTAGTTAAAAAATCAATACCTCATGAAAAAATGCAATTAAATACAAATCTACAGACCATGGTAGTAAAAGCTTTGATTCATTGAACAATAAATATATGTTCAATTTATATCCCTCCAAAACACAGACTGAATAAGACTGAAATAGAAAGCCTAATTGGCCAACTTCCCACTCCCTTTCTATTAATGGGAGATTTTAATGCACACAGCAAAATGCAGGGCTGTAGGAATCCCAATCAAACTGGTGAAATTATAGAATATCTACT